TACCTATTATACTGATACAAACTATTAGAGAGTATACAGACTCTAATAAAACAGCAACAAATACTACAATTCAACTATTCCTACAACTATCTCAAAATATATACAACTTAATTTGAAAACTATACTGTGCAAAGTTATTAAGCTGGAAGCAAGAACACAATATACCTACCCATATAAACAGAAATCGAACCAGTTGAAACACAACATCTACATCTAGTAATAATCCATGATTAAGAATACCATATACCTACAGCTGTAGCTGTAGTTTACCTGACTAACAACACATAGATAATGACTGTTTACCTTTTGGAAAAGCAACTAAAAAAGCATATACATGGCTAACTTCTTGGATAAAATATAACACACCTACTAATAATATTATAAATTATAGAATCTAGGTGAGTTTTTAACCACTCTAGTAGGTTTAGATTGCAAATAAATTAGATTTTAATATCTATAGTCTGAGTCTTATTCTTGTAAAAATATTTGTAATTATTGGTCTTATTGATCAGAGAATCTCCTAATGGATTCTTAATACAAATTATTCAATAAAGATAAAGGCAAAACCTCACCTTAAAAAAAAAAAAAAAAAAAAAAAAGCTTTTCATAACATAAAAAACAAATTTAAATTAAAAAATTAAGTGTGAATCTATTTGTAACCGGCGGTGACAGTTCCGAGCCAATCAGATTGCAAGATTAGGTATGATAAAAAAATTCAAAAAATTACAAATCACAATAACTCAAAATTATGCCTATGAAACCACCATTTGTATTCTAACAAAAAATGTTTCTTGGGGCATTTTACTATATAATTAACCTACTTCTAACTCTAAATCCAATCCTAACCCAAATCTGGTTACTGTCACCACCAGTGACAAGCACATTTTTTCAAAAATTAAAACTATATTAATAAAAGACAATTTCTATTTGTATACTAGTGTATGAAACACAGATATATTGATATCTTGAAATTTTGATTATAAAACCCACTTCGGGGTTCTAACAAAAAGGATTCCTTATAAAATTTTAGTATAAATTATAACCTTTCCTAACCCTAAAGCTAACCTTACCCTAACGTTAAATCGGGTTTAATTTTTAGCCTACGATTTATACATTACACGAAGTCATAAATCAACTATTAATACCCGTGTTTCGTACACTAGTGTACGTTAAAAAATTTTCTTAATAAAAAAATTTTTTTTATTAATTTAATTTGAGATATCTATCTTTTTGCACCAGACTATAAGGTTTTTTAACGCCATTATTACTAACTTTATTCTTGTATATTAATATTTTTTAAATTTAAAACCTCTTTAATATTGCTTTAAAATTGCTTTATAAAAATTTGCGCCATTAGCTTTTTTTCAATAACCCAGCTATATTTAACAATTTAGAAATTACATATACAGTACGTACGTAGTTTTGTAGTTACAGTATATATAGGAATTTCATCTAGGCAAGGTTTTTCTAGATGTGGAATTATTGAAAATTATTTTGTATAATAACTGTTGGTCTTTTCGAAGATAAAAAAAAGTTTAATTTTTATTTTTTGTGAAATATTACATTCTTAAAAAGTACTTTAAACTGTAAATGATTGACCAATCAAAAGTGGTATATAGTAAAGTAGTACAGTACGGAAACGTAAATTAGGACGGACGTGTAGAAATTATGATAGTACGTACGGTTTGTAAAAGAAAAATTTCGTAAAACCCAAATTCTTTTCCTATAAATCCTAACATGAAAAAAGGACAATACTAGCGCTCACCCTAACCCTAACTATCAAAAAGGGTTACTTATAAAAATTGAAACTTGCAAGTCTATATTAACCGTACGTACGATCAAAATTTGGTATAATTTTCGTATGCCCGTCCGAATTTGTACTGCCGTACAGTACTACTTTACTAAATACCTAATCAAAAGAAAGGTATTCTATATGGAATCTTGTATAGGTACGTACGTACGTACGTACGTACCTAGTAATCATCTGTTACCTTTAACCACTCAAAATCGTGAAATTTTGATTGACCTGGATCAGTCCGAAAATCAAAGTTTTTTTTAAAGAATATCGATATAGTTAACTCGGGCAGGTCCAAAGATAAGATAAACCCGGCAAAAAATTTTTTTTTTTAAATTTTTGAGCGGACCGGCTACAAAGCTACTAAAATAGACATATTCTAGAGAATTTTACTATCGTTATATACTGTAAATTTAAAATTTATGAACAATTGGACTATATATTTACATAATAATAGTAATAAAGATACCGGTAAATTTTTTTTTTTTTTTTTTTTTTGTTACGTATGTTAATAACCAGGTGAATATTTTAAAAAAATTTTATATGACCAATACTATTACTACGTTATTAAGCCATTTTAAATATTTGTTATTAAATAAAAATCGAAAAAAATACCTATTTACGGTGATGAATGACCATATTCTATTTTTATACGTATAAAATAAATAGAACAAGGAACAAATTGTTATAAAGTATTCTTGCACGGCCTAATGAAGATTTAGATTCTTTGTTAATAAGAGAAAAATTAAAATCGTACAAAAAAATAAATTAGTATAAAAAAACGGCCGAAACATATAAATGGGCATGAATAAGAAACAAGACAATTATCGTTATGCACAATTGACAAGCTTACAGCTATTTTCATAAATGGAATCTTCTTAATTTCTTCCTACCGCTATAAATAATCTATCTCACCGGAAATTATATCGCAGTCTCCGGGCTAAGGTTTCGAAGATAGCGATGTAGTTTCCAAAGAATTTGATCGATCGTTCTTAAGAAGAAACTGAATATATCTTGGGATATAAGCAAATTTTTAGTTTGTCGCAGAATTTATGAGCACATCTGTAGCATTTTTTCGACTATCTAGTATTTATTTGAAGGAAAGGAAAATTGGTTCGGATTAACATGCTATATATTTTAAATTATATATGAGCAGTTGTCTAAATGGATCGACCGCCGCTCATACGTGAATATACTTGGTCGAAAATTAACTATGATTCGGTGTGTTCTCACTTTTTTTTGCAAATAACGAGTCTGATAGTATCATAATTTTAAGATGAGAATATCAACATCATTTGCTATATAAAGTACGTACGTACGTGCGTACGCACGCACGTTTCGAACACCAAATGCCAAGGAATAAGATAGATTTTCCTTCACGTGATGAAGAAATTAATTAGTCATCGTAACGATAAGAAAGATGTCAAATAAGCATGTTTTCTAGTCCGAAGCATGGCCGAGGAATCTGCGCCCCGAACCCTTTCTATCATGCATTCAATAATAGTAAACGTCGATCGTGTCAATAAGTGGTAGGCGTACATATAAAAGATTTTCCATTGGTAAAATGCTTGTATCACAAAAACATTTTTGTGTCTAACAATAATAAAATAAGTTTTCCAAAAACTAACAAATTTTTTCCTCACGTCTTCTTTTCTTTCTAAAGAGATGTTTATAATGGTATCGATGATATCAATAGATCGATTAGTAGCGTTATTTTAAATTTTGATCAATGCTAATATTTAGTCTATAACGCATATACAATAAATAATAAAGTTAACATAATTATTCAGTTCAAATTTTGAAAAATTTGACCAATTTTTTAAATTACCTCTAACAAAAACAATAAATAATTAAAATGGGTGTTGTTCTTAAAAAACCCTCGTCATCTGATTCCGTTCTCACATCAACACCCTCAACAACATCACCCACTCTTAGGCAATCCATAAATTCTTTTTTGAGTCTTGACTATGATTTCTGTCGTCGCACTTACTGGCTATGTTCCGAATGCGGAAATCCGAGAACTGGTTATAGTTGGTGTCAAGCTTGCGAATCCAACCGTTTCGAATCCGAATTTCCGCATTGGACTAGCGGTAATATTGATATTGATGATTTCATAAGGCAATCACAAAAAAATGCTTACACAGCACAAGATTATTTGGAATGGATACCTTATGAGCGTTTTGTGGAGGTAAAATATTTAGCTAGTGGTGGATATGGAGATGTGTATACGGCTTATTGGAAAGAAGGACCAAGGTGGGCATGGAATGAACAGAGGATGGAAAGGGTAAGAACGGGTCCGAAGAAGGTGGTGCTAAAAAGTTTGACTAATTCCCAAGAAATTACATTAGATTTTTTGAACGAGGTAATGTTTTAAATTATATAAATTCTTTAAAATTTATCTTTTAAATCATAATTTAAAATTTTAGTGTCTCTTATATAGTTAGCATTACATCATATCTGTAATTCAAACGGTCATGTAATATTCTGCTATGGTGTCTCTCAAGATCCAACCACTAAAAACTATTTACTCGTAATGGATTATGCTAAAAGTTTTTATAAACATGTAATCAAACCTTCACAACATATATCATGGAAAAAAAAATTAGAGATACTTTACGACCTCATAATAGCCCTTGCGTCGTTACACAGCAAAGATATAGTTCATCGAAATTTTCATCCTGGTAATATATTTTTGGATGCAAAACACCCAGGATTTACTTGTATTTCGGATATAGGTCAATATTTTCCGCCGAATAAATCTTATGATAATAATGGTATATATGGTGTTTTGCCATATGTTCCACCTGAGATATTATTAGGATCTGATTATTCGACGGCATCTGACATATACTGTTTTGGAATGATAATGTGGAGCATTTCTACCGGAAAACGTCCGTTTGAGGATAGACCACATGACCAAACTTTAGCTTTAGATATTTGTAATAATTTGAGACCTAAAGCTGTAAAAGGAACTCCACCATCATTTGTCAAGTTAATGAAACGATGTTGGGATTCAAATCCGGAGAGACGTCCGGATTCAACTGTGGTTGCAGATATTTTGGAAGATTGGTTGGATCAATTAATGAATGAAAATTGTAATGAATCAACGATTAGAAAAGAATTCTCGATGGCCGAGGAACAGAGAAAAAAAGGTAATGGATTTGTGTCATCATCGACGGTACATCCGATGTCTATATATACGAGTAGACTATTGGATTTTCCAAACTTGAATATGAAATTGAATAAATCATAACATCATAGAATAAGTTTATTTGCATTTATTATATTCTTTCATTTTTAATACTAATTCAATGGAGACATTAGGAATAGAATATTTTAAATTAATGCATTATAGACGTATTTTCTAGTGAATTAAGGAAATTTTGTTTTTAAACTTTTTAGCTTTGACATTAGAATAAGATTTTCGAAAAGAGACGTCCCAAATAATATCTATAATGAAATGCATTTTTCGAATTTCAAATTTCACTCATCTTTTGTTTAGATTATCATAACATGTATATATATTACAAATCATTTATTTTCAAATTATTTTTTTTTTGTCAAAAGTTACAAACGATGACAAGGTTTATAAAAATTCACAGCTTTATCATGCATACCAAATCTTGTAGTTGTTTTTCTTTCTTCTTCGTTTCATGGATTTATTGATCATGTTTTCATGGCAAATTCAGTTAGTTGACGACTATCATTGGCTCTATTCATTAATCGGTTTTTATAATACCGGTATATAGATCTACAAGCCTTAGTTTAGTACTGTAGTATATTGAAAAACTATGCGTAGTCAAATTAAATTAGTTCAATAAATTTGTTAAGCCAATCAAATTTATTACTAATGTCAACTAAGTAATCGATTTGTAGTAATCCTGTTGATATGAAAAAAAATCGGCAAAGCAAATTATCGGCTTAGCAGATCGATGAAGTTACCGATATAAGCTAAAACAAGAAACTCATCAATTCATTCATCGGCAATTTAGATGTCCAAAATTTATGAAAGATAAAATTTATCGGGCCGATAAATAATGATCGGCCAGGATCACCATTCGTATTAATATCGATATTGATTCTCAAAATGGTAAAGTCAATCCAACACGAGTTTGGCGCCTGAAGTTATAATATGCAGAGAAACCTCCCAAAATGCAACCTCCATAAATGCATTCTATGTAAAATCTCTAAGTGCACGGTATAGTCTTATAACAACTCATATATACTTTTTATAAATGCACACCCTCGTATTTGAGTGCCGTCACGAGAAGACCCGTAAATCATAAGATTTGTAAAACCTTCTCTTATTTGAAGCTTAGTGTTAATATCATATTACGTAACCATCACGATAACTTTGCGCCAATTTGTTTAAGATTACTACGAATTTTACTTCGAAATCATTGCTCATTCACTAACTGAAAATCCAAGCTGATCATTTGTTATAGACTTAATCGCTTATTGCATTGTGGCTTCTGCAGATCACGGTGTCATGTGAGAATCAGAGATTCTTCGATTTTAAGAATTTTATCGATTTCGAAGAAATATAAACGTAACCGATCGAAAATATAAAAAACAGACAATCTCAAATCTCAGAAAATTTCCCCGATCATCACAAAAATCATTTTGCAAAGCGGTATAATCTCAGATTAACTCCGACCCGGAATTTTGATGATAAATGGAGTATGAATGGCCTCGATAAGATAGAAATGCAGTTTTTCTATACATATTTAGTATAAAAGAAGTTGTTATTTAATAAACTTACTCTAACCAACAAAACTCTTCAGAATTACTATAGGTCGGTATAGCGAAGCAATTATATAATGTGCCTCTTAATTATTTTATTGTATACCCTTATTCGATTTAATAAAAAGTAAACGACGCCCGATTTACTGTATCTAGGGGCATGCCCAAATATTTTCCCTATCTGAAGTATCGGTAGCGGTAATAAAAAAAGAAATCACTAAACAGCAAAAATGATGACATAAAAAATGTGTATTATTAAATTTGATTATCTAATACATTTAATTTTAAATTTTCATTTTTATTTTATTTTGCCAAATGTAGTATCAGTGAAACGAACAGCTCAGTCAATCAAAATTTTGATCGAACTACATTTGTCACATACAGGCAGAAGTTTGTCTGATTGGCTAATAAATTCAATTTAATTTTATATTATTTATACAGTTTAGAGTACTTTAAAAAAAAATTATAATGAAATAAAAAAACTGTATAGAAGGTTTCATTAGAGCTGTAGTACTCCATAGCCAAAAATAATATCTAATTCTCGTCCGTTTAAAAAAGTTAATATAGTCAATAACTTCTCAAAGCCAACTTATTTCTAAGCTAATTTTTTTAAACGGACTAGAATTAGATCTTATTTTTGACTATGGAATCCTACAGCTCTAATGAAACATTCTATATAGTTTTTTTTACTTTATTATGGTTGGTTTTCGTTTTTTTAAAAGTACTCTAAGTTGTATAATTAAATTGAATTTATTAGCCAATCAGACGAACTTCTGTCTATGATACGAATCATCCAGGACGGCCCCCAAAAATGCAGTGACGTAGATTATGGTATACGTACGTACGTACGTATTACAATCACTAAAAAATGATCAACAATATACAGCTAGAAGAGAGCCAATAAGTGGCAATAACTAATCTTACGTCACTGCATTTTTGGGGGCCGTCCTGGATGATTCTCTATGATACAGGGGGGTCACCAAAATTCCGGGTCGGAAAGCATCAGAATCCTGATCGGATGTGCTGGAATTATTCCTAAATTATTCCTGGGACACCTTATGAAAAATTAACCGAATGATTATTCAGCCGATTCGATAAGTTATTGATTTCGGCATAATCAATGTAACGTTTATTATTTACGGAGATAGTCTAAAGCTATGTACTGTACACACAGTATCCGCGGTTAATTGAATATCGATATTTTTAGGTACTGTTGTAGCTAATAATAACGAAATATAATTTATGGTTTTTTTTTTTCTTTATATATTGATAATGATAATGCTGTAATGATGCGATAAATTGATACGTAATAATAATTAATAATGTACTTAGCTTATCAGGCGATCGACAATTCAGGGGTAAATTTTTAATATGAAATCAAATGACTGACGCACCTAAATTTTATATGTAAAATTTAGGCAAAATTCGCTTT